CGCTCCTCTCCCCCGGGAACTCGGGGGAGGCGCGGGTGGCCGAGGGCGCGTTGCCCTCCGGCCCTTCGCCCCCTAAGAGGGCGCCCCTCCGAGAGCACCGCCGAGATGCTCAGAGGCTAGTCTTACACTATGTAGTGCCTTGCATGAACGCCTATGGCTTGTGCGTGGTAGACCACTTCCTGGGATCCCGGATAGCCGAGAAAATCTACCAAGAAGTCCTGGCTTTGCACCTGAGTGACAAATTCCAGGACGGAGCCCTGGCGAGTCAGAAACTGGGCAGCAACAAAGCCATCCGCGGGGACAAGATCTTGTGGGTAGAGGGCAGTGAACCAGGATGTGAGAACATAGGCTACCTCCTGAAAAAAATGGATAAGCTCATCATGTACGCAGATGGGAAGCTGGGGCATTACAAAATTAGAGGAAGACACAAGGTTAGTAGTTTCAGTATCGAGGACTTTGTTCTTCACCTACTACCAACAACTTTCCCAAAGTTTCTAATATCGCTGTCACTCGGAGTCTGAACTCTTAGCTGTGCCGTTCTGGTCACTCTTGTATGCTTGTTTGTCTTGGCGTTATTTTTCTTCTAAATATTTAACCCTAATTCGATCGCTTAGTAAAATGCAGGTTTCAGGGTCGAATTCACACAACATAGTACGAGTTACACGTGATTGATTTCCGAACCGGACAAGGAGGGCTACTATCTCAACATTAAGGGCAACTCTTTCTCTCTCTCTCTCTCCTTCTCGCTCGCTCTTTCGGGTACATACGAGTACAGTTCATCAAAAGTACATCTCGAAGGTTTTTAACTAAGATTTCATGATGTTAATTTTTATATGCAGAAAAAATGGTTGGGTGTATTTTGCTTCTTTTTCGATGGCATATATGAGATGCAGGATCCATGAGGTTAAAATCGTAGGAGCGTTTTGAATGCAGCATCTATAATAAGGGCGCTTAAACGCTAAAATACAGCTAATGTCGCATATAAAACAATTGCTGTGCGTCTAAAAGGCTTTGTCTGCAGAAAGTCAGGTGTGGAAAAAGGGGAAGACGCCTTCCAGGGAAAAAATGCTGAGCACTTGTAAACTCACCCCCTCTCGGTTCTGTTCAGTTGCCAAAAGAAACTCCACTATCACTTGCGCGCTTGCACCCTTTCTCTCCCGTTTGTTTACATTGGCCTGTAGTATGTGACCGTACTAGAAGCGTACATGCGAGGGTAGAATTCCTCAATGGCGGAGACCACACCCCCTCGGAGTGTGGGCTTATGGCCTGGCAAGCCGTAAGTCCCGCCTCCTGCAGGCACGCGGCTCTTTCGACTCCCCTCCCCGGCGCGGTAAGTCCAGCCGCGGTCTGGGGGCAACAGGGGGGCTGGAAGCGCCGGGCAAAGCCACACCTCGTCTCCTTTTTGATTGGCCGGATTCACGCTCCCTTCGGTTGATGTGTGGGCGCGCGGAGAGATTGTTTCTGGGCCGGGGCTCCACCCACGTGCCGCTCGCTGTAGAAGTTGGGAACACATCCTGCACGTAGCAGACGTATTAATCAGAGAGGGGCCATCTGCTGCCTTGGTAAATAAATGGGAAAGGAGTTTGCCGGACGTGGCTCCCCGAAGGGGGAGTGATCGTATCAGCCAAAGGGGGTGTTCACTTCACACACTGATCTCCTGGCCTCAGAGCAGATAGCAAAGAGCCTCAGCAGTTATCTGTCGGCCAAGGTGTTGCTCTTACAGTAGGTGGAAGACAGCCCCGGGGGGAGTGGTGCAGTCGCCGCTCATTCCATTCTCAAGCCTTGAGTCGCCAGGGGCGGCGAAGAGCTGAGATGGTGACCGCTGGCTGCGCGGAAGACCGAGTGTTACTTCAGCAAAACTTTTGAGCGCTCCGCTTCATTGCTAGCCTGACACAGATCAACTCTGCTTGATCGCGGTTCTGGTTCGACATCCAAGAGTTAGACATGCCGGGGCGCGCGGCCGATTCGTTTTGTTAGAATAACCGAGGCCAAGCAGCCCGCGCTCTCGCGCCAATCTAGGGCTTGATTGCTTTTTTGACATTATTCAGGGGTGAGAATTAATCGCATTACTGAAATGCCATTGGGCGATATTATGAGATTAGACCTAGAGAAAATTGCCCTGGACTACATTGTACCGTGTTTGCACGATATTGGCTTTTGCTACCTGGACAATTTCTTGGGTGAGCTCATAGGGGACTGCGTCTTGGAATGTGTAAAACAAATGCATTATAGCGGGGAGCTGCAGGATGGTCAACTGGCCGGTCAGCGCCAAGGCATCTCCAAGAGACACTTGCGGGGAGACCAGATAAAGTGGATCGCAGGCACTGAGGAAGGATGTGAGGCCATCAACTTTCTCTTGTCACTGATAGATAGACTGGTGATGTTCTGTGGAAGTAGATTGGGTAAATACTATGTCAAGGAAAGGTCCAAGGTAAGAGCTTTAAAAATGAGACCTTGAATGTTTGTCTTCAGGGTGTTACTCCAGTCATTTCACTATTGCTCCTGGAATTAATTGGTGATCTTAAAGTGCAACATACAGGGCCATTTCAGTCTTTTTCTCTCTCTCCTTTTAAAACCTGGATCCTAAACTTTGTCATATAAATAAGATCCATTGTGATGTCCAAGTCAGTATTCTTGGGAGCTTAACAACTTTGTATAGTTAAATAGTGCATACCCTTATGAATGAATGTGTAATTTGTAAAAGTTAAATTTAGTAAGATTATACCAGTGTGAATGACAAATCTGTCCATGTGCAGAGTATTTCTATTGTTTTTTTTAAAGTAGTTCTTTAATCAGAATTGTAATAACAGCTCTGATAAATTGGTAGAAGTTTGCTGGTGCTACTTGAGAGGAACCTTTGTTAAAAGTTTGCAAAGGTCTGTTGCATCATTTGATTTAAAGTAAGCTTGAAGTTGGATTATTGTGCTCAAATGTCAAGTGCTTATCAAGTTACTTTTAGCTTGTCTTTAGGAATTAACTTTATTACCTTTCTAATGTATGTACATATGTTCCAGCATAGGCCACTGCGCAACTGAAGAAATAAACAAAATCCATAGTAATTAATAAATTAATTGGTGCTGCAGAATGTTTGTGTACATGCATCAATTCCTTCTGGTGTTTGAAGTTTGCATTGGTGTAAGTGCTATGTCACTTGAAATCTTTATTATCTGTTGGTTTCTTCCAACCTGAACCTATAGGTATTTATTCAGAATAAGTACCGCTTGCTAAGCATGCTTAAGATTACTGCCCTAGAATGCTCAGAGATGCTTAGAAAGGATACTACTACTACTACTACTAATAATAATATATTAAACTTAATAGAGTTATTAAACTGATGTGACAGAAAGGCCTGCCATAGTAGCCATACTGATATCCTTTTCCTTTATATCATAAAGGAAATATCAAACTTCATTGAAAGCACCAAGTAAAGAATTTTTCAAAGCTATTTGAAATTTCTGTCATTGAAGAAGTAGAACAATAAATTGTGTCACTTAGATGTTTGAACGTCTAGATGAAATCGTATCTAACTGAGAAGTTATGAGCCTGTCTATTATTTCTGCTAGTGACTGAATGAACAATAGTTTCTAGAGCTCTTCTGATGGCGATTTAGTCTACAGAATAAAAAATTAAACTATTTTTAAAGCTTGATTATTTAGGTTACTTGATTATTTAGGGTCACAGGTGGAACTGTAGATCAGAGTTTCAACTAGCCATTTTTCTTTTTCCCCTTTTTCTACCTGACAATCAGCATTCTGCAGTGACAAGTGTAAGCACACTTATAGAATAGATCCCACTGAATTCAGTGGGAAAGGTGCTTAAAAGCATTCAGCACAGGAGGTGGAAAATCAGTGTCCAGTGGTCCAGTGTATTATTACTACAGTGTGAAGGTTTCCTAACCAACCAAAAGAAAAGTCTGCCTGCATATAGTTGTGTCCCACAGAACACTTTGGGAAAGCTACTTGCCTTGAAAAAATGGTTAAGCTCAGGGTTGAATGAGTGTCTGGAAAGCCAAGTTCTAGTCATTTGGTTTTCGGTTTAATTGATTTGGTTATTTGCAATAATTCATCCACCTGCCTCAACACATTGCTGGACAGATGTTTCAGTGAATCTCCATTCTTTTAAAGGTGCTGTCTCACACATACACACTTGCCTGAGATCACAGTGTTTAAATTGGTGGAACATGGAAAATATTATTATTATTATTATATTAAATTTGTATGCTGTCCAAATGACAAGGTGCAAACAAAAATGTACAAAGCTCATCCACCCGCCACAATATTGTAATATATAATACAGATAAGATCCTCAGTTTCATGTTCTTCCAACCAGTTTCACAATTAAATGTTGTTACAGTATATAGCTGATCTTTGCCTTGTAAGAGCTAAACATTGATGTTCCATGATAGTAAACTCAAACTTCATCAGTCTAATTGACCTAATTATAGCCTAAGGACAGTTTCAGTGCAGAGCTTGTCATGCTGGCTAGCCCTAAAAATGGAAGGGAAGAGGACGTCATCCATGATGCAAAGAGTGCGCATCACCACAGGGTGTTCCTGATTTCCTTAGCATGCTTAAGAGATGGCATAGTCATGTCCTCAGGCCACAGTGTGGTGCAGCTTCTGTCATCTGGTGCCTTCTAGATGTGTTGGGATGACAGCTAGAATTCTCAGGCAGGATGGTAAAATACTAAATAGAATCTTGACTATAAAATGTTAGGGTTATGACTTCATTCATTTTAATCCAAGAACTTTTTAATGAACGTTTGAAGGGCATCTCTAAGTTTTGCTTAAACACACACACATATGTGAAAGCTTTTCCTAGGGAGTAGAATCAAATATACATTGCAACCAAGGGTAGTTGTATATTTGTATTAGAAGTTTATTATATTTGTACTAGAAATACTTAGTTGCAAAAATTTTGCAAGTTTAAAATTATTGTTTTAGATGGGCTGTGATCTTGGGAACAAGTCTCTTGGTACTCAATAAGATTTAATTCCAACTAGATATGCTTAAGATTGCACAGTTATAAATCAAGCTGGAGTGTTTATGTAAAACCAGTAATAATTATGGTAATGTCTGCCACTCCAGAAAATCAAGTATAAGCAAGTATAATGTTGGTTACTAACAATTATAGATAGAAGGCATAAGCCTCAAGTTGTTCTAAAGAACTAAATAGTACTGTAGTTCAGGATTATGCAATGTCTGTTACAGTGGGAAATCCCTTAAGCAGACTAAGGTAAAATTTTATACAGACACGGAAGTTAACATTTCCTGATAAAGTAAAAAAAAAAAAAATTATGACATAATAATCCTAACATCGGTTAATCTTAAATTTATAGTTAATTGTTTTTACCTACTGGCTTTAAAAAAATGCTGGGCAGGCATATTTATTTCTTTATTGCATTTACATCACAGTCAAAAGTGAAACTTAGCAGTTCAGGTGCTTTTGGTTAGTTCTACCTTGGCGTTAACTTGAAATAATGCTGGCATATTAACAAGTCCTAGGACAAGATTAAAGACTGCCTGCCTGACTTTGTAAAGAAAACTAATCATACTGTAGAAAGCTGCACAGTGTTTTGATAAAGATGCTTGGGAGTGCACAAGGGTGCAAATGCAGCACCTTTTTGCTTCTAATCTGAAGAATTGCCAAATTCAAATGTCATATGTTTATCTTGCATTGATATGATTCCGTTGCTGTTGCCAAGTCAGAGGAAAAGTAATATGTATGAATAAGGTTTGATGCAAGCAAGATTTTAAGACAACTGGGTCCCACTGAATCAAATGAACGTAAGGTTGTCACAATTCTCATCTTGATTTCAGTATGTCAAAGTGTGGATAACTCATTTGGGATCCAATTCATAATGCCTGTTTCTCCCCATTGGCAGCTATACGTATCTTAATTAAGAAATCACTACGACTCTATGTTCAGTCTCATAGAACTGTCCGCTTCAGAAGTGTAAATGTATTTCTCTTCTGGACTTAAATCTTAGCAGCAGCATGAGCAAGATTTGTTATTGCATTGTTGAAGACTAATGCTTTTGGAACTATAATTGTTTATTATAGATTAAAAAAGAGTTTGATATTTGGAAAGCAGCATTGCAATTAGGTTACAGTAGAAGATCTGATGGAAACTGACATCCTGGAGAAATATGCACAGTTGGTCTTTCTTTTTCTTCTAACCAAGTACACATGTTCTGACATAATGGTTGGGCTGAAATCTGTTCTTCTGGAAGACTGCCAGATTGCCTGGTGTTCATCAGACTGGGCCCAAATCACTAGAATTGTAAATACAACACACAGATCATTCTATGATATCAGATGGAGGAATTCAGCTTTGGCAGAGATCCTGGAGCAATTGCCATGGCTCTTTGTCAAAACTGATGTTTATATCCATATTTGTCAAGCAAGATTAGTTGAGATTATTTTCAGGTATAGGGTTTTGAGTGGTTTTATTTTTTGCTTCTTGTTTTGCCTTTTTAGCAAAAATAAGGTGTTACAATTTTGCAGTTTGATGTAGTTTTATTTTCCCTGCTTAGGCTATGTTTTCTGTTTTCTTTATGGAACAGCTTTTCATCTTATATTTTTAACAGCATTTTAAAAAAGTGAAATAGAGCTTAGGTGATTTATTTATTTCATTGTATCTATCTATCATGTATTCTCAATGTATTCCCAGCAGTTATATTTTAAAGATCACAGGACTATTATATTTAATAATTAAAACATCAGTTTATTACTGAAAGTTTCCAAGATTATGAAAGGTTGATAATAAAACTAATTAGAATGATAAGTTTCCACATTGAATGTGGGGGCATACTTCGATGAAATATTTTCTCTCATCTTAACCAGTTCTCTAATCCAACTTGGTTTAAGCACTGTGAACAAGGAGACCTAGCTGTAGAATCCTGAAGAAAAATAACACAGTTTTGAAAATGTTTGCTTCCAATCATGTGTCAGATTGGAAAAAAAGTTCAGACTGAAAAAACAACATCCTATTCTGTTAAAAACTTTATGCAAAAGTTAGGAAATTTAATTTGGATTCAGGAAGATCTATATAATGGTGTAATTTTTCAACTGCTCTTTTATATACATTACAGAGTAACATAACTAAAAATAAGTTTGTGCCTTGTGAAAATTGCATTCTTAATTTGGACAATAGAGAAAATACTTTGAAAACACAAAGAGAAATATAGGTATGGTTAATAAGAAAATATGGGTACATTCACAAATGTGTATCAAAGCTTTGTTTTTGCAAATGGTGGGCTGAAGGATTAAACAACAGGACTCACAAAAAATATAATTTTGAGGCAGGACTTAGAGAAAGAAAAGTCCCATGTTGATGTTCTAGGAGGGAGTTTTAGGCATAAATATAAAGTTTATGTTGTGAAAGACAGAGGTTTAAAACTGTAAGGATCTGTACAATGACAATTGCTATA